ACGTTTGACGTCTTTGAAAGCACGCAACATGGCGTTTACTGTTATAAAACTGTAGCCTTCGCTGCTGTGACAGATATTTTAATTTTTATAGCATGCCATCTGACAGTGCACTGAAATGTCGTGCAGTGGACGAGTCTTTACCCATCTCTTTGCAGAAATGAAACATTAAACATCCAATTAATTGACAAGGTTTCAATGTGTATTCAATAACGCAAAATGATAAACAGTATATTGATGGTACATGTATTCAGAATACTACACCTAGACTACACATATATACATGTAGATATAAAATGGTGTTTGTGCCAAGTTAAGAAAAAAACACTTGCATGTGATTCACAATATCTTGCTTGTTGTCCAGCCTGCATCTACTTCCGTCACTTTTTCATCTCCAGTTTTCACACTTTAGTCAGGAAAGTCCTAAATCCTTGCTGACAATTCACACTATCTTGTCCGTTGTAAGCCGCTACATGTATATTCGCCAGCAAATTGATTTCTGTTTGAGATCTATTTGAGATTGTATATAAGAAACTAGAGGTCGGTTTGTTATAAACTACTTGAAGGTAGGACAGGGACGCCCTTCAATACTGTACATGTAATCCGAGTCATAACGCTGCGCTCGGTATAAAAACATTCTGTACAAGGGCAAATTGGCTGGGCCGCGGGGTGGTGCACTTGCCGGGTTCAAGATGGAGGTCATATTTAAAATATAGATAAATATTCTGCACCACATTCCATATGGGGATTTTAAGGAATGCATTTTTCGTGATTAAAGTTCATTTCTGTCTTGTAGCTTTCGTGTATCTTATATTTGTCTTGATTAATATCTGAAAAAGGTTTGCTGAAAATAAAAAATACGAGGTCTAGCATGATGATTTTCATTGGTAAGCGATGGCGAATGGATTCAGTAGGGAATACCAAGAGTAAAATACTGGTTAACAAAATCGTACAATGTTCTGAATGAATGAATGAATGAATGAATGAATGGGACAAATCCACATCAGTCTTTAATAAAAAAGTAACAGAAATTCGATATATTGAACTATTTCAAGGCAGCAAGTCGCATTCGTGTACTTACTCTTTGCCCTGTTTGGACATAAATAAATAAATAAGGAAAAAGAAAAGCAAAATATGTATCATTGATGGCAAAATATGTATCATTGATGGAGGGTTTTTACAACGTCCCCATATCTACATACACCTCTACAGAAAGAATATTCACAGATATTAGTCTGCAATTTTCTGATAAAATGACGTCATCCCCAAGCTGGTCTCTGGTGGATATTTTTTTGTAGTCCTCTTCCTCCTCTCCTCCCCTCCCCACCCCTCCCCACTTCCACTCGTCCTTCGTCCCCCCTTTTCCCCTCCCCGGCTTCGCCCCAGCACTGACCCATGATGCAATTATGTAATATAGAATTCTATACCTTCGGCTGCAATACGAATAACACAGGATCATTCAGTGTGGATTAACTCATGCTGCAGTTAACCTAAAGACGTGCAGTTTCCTCACATGTTCTGTGTCAAAATAAGTTTTAGTAGATATAATCTCCTTCAGGAAGGAATCAGCAGATTTTTTTAATTTAATGATTGAAGTATATCGTGACTACTACATGTAGTACTGGGATTTAATTTTTTAGGAGAACGTGTATTTGCTGGCGAGTGCTGTCAATCTACATCGGGCAGCCCAGTATATTGAGGAAGAAATATCTGAGACCGTACCCCTTTAGCTACCCTCTACATTATATACCAGGACCCACAGAAAGATGTTTTTCACTACATATTCACATATATTTCCCTGGCTAATTCTGTGCACAGTTCTGTCCAGCAAAAAAGTTTAGAAGGTTTTAGCTTAAGATAAAAACAACGATAACACGAAAAGTTGATATTTGAATAAAAGGTTCTATGTTACATTTTGATACACGATGAAGTGTGCTCATACTTAATTTAACTGCGATGTTTTGACTTTCTTTTCAGACATAATGCACTGGCAGTAATTCAGTAGTCATTTCCGACCAAAGACGTGGGTTTTAGAGGTATAAATGATACCAGTGAATTAGCTTCAGGATGGAGAAAGTCACGATCTTACTGTTCTGGCACGCAAGAGCGTGTGCGCACCATTGCACATCGCGCACGACACAAAATTGTTGACCTTTTACTCTGTATCAGAGGCCAAATGTATTTATTTATTTATTTCAAATTCTAGATAATACAAAAAATGTACATATCTAGTGAATAGCCAGAAAAATATTTTTGAATATCTAGCGAATCTAGTGTCCTGGTATAATAATAATGATGTTACATGAGTACAACGAATCCATTTTTACAAACACATGACATTTGCTTCACATAATTTGGTTTATCCAGATGTTTATTCCCATTAATAAAATTATCGATAATTAAATGTTAAAATATTAAAACATCATTCATATTTTTATTATGTAAACATAATGAGTTTACTTCTTGAATGGTGCTGTCTTTTTCTCGTTGTTGTTGTTTGTTTTTCTTCACCTTTATTTTTTTCTTCTTTCCCTTGTCTCCTAACTGCCCGTCCAACATGAAATCGGGTAGCTTTCACTTTAAGCAAATTTCCACTTAGCGTATTGTACTGAGTTCTATTAATTTGGAAATCTCGTGTCAGTCGCGTTTCATGTATTGTTACTGATAACAAGGAGGTCAATAAAAGAGATGTCATTCTGTAAGCCATTTTAGAGCCGAACGATGTGACAGAAATTGTAGTCCGCTAGGAACTGTAGTCTGTTTCCCTTTTTATTTCATTCGTCCCATATTCTAACCTCAATACTACGACTAACCCTAACCTGTACTAATCACATGGAACCCGGACTTCCATTCCTAGGACTACATGTACCATTCCTGTCACTCAGGCTTCCCCTCTGCTTATTAAGGATATAAGTTTCCATTTTAACAAAACGATTATAACCTATAGCTAAAAAGCTTGCTTACAATGTACACGTTCAATTATCAATTAAAAACATATTGACAAGTCATTCATTTGATTTTCACTCTGTGATATACAAAAAATATAGCATCAATTTAAATAAATAATAATTTCTTTAAAAGTTTGCTCTTTTGGGAGCAGTTTTGACTATTTGTACCAATATTCTTTTACCCATTTAGTATCGGATTTCGAACTCTTTCATTTTACCATTACTGAAATATCATGAATCACGGTTAGCTCTTTCTACCATAACTAAAAGCTAGGATGAATTGAATACACAATAGGCATAACGTATACAGTCCATTTAGACACTGTAAATAAAGGTGTTGTGGATCAATCGCAAGGGAGTCTAACGATATTGCCATTAAGACGTAGCCATTGATTTGGTTATTGATCTTGATTGAGAGATTTAAAGACTCAGTTAATGATATTGGATCCTTATTGTTTCACTTCGCGCCCCAGGTTCGTATGTAAGCATTTAAAGAGTCAGAGAGGCATGTAAAAACTGAAAGAATATATACCATAAACATGTACATATAATACTCGTACTTGTACATGTACTAGTACTTACCCCAGTGCAGGTATCTTATGGCAGATATCGAATTATTTTTATTTTGATATAACTGAAATGCTACTACCAAGTGAAGCATTAAATTTGTTATTAATTTTTTAATCCTAATCTAAGGGACCGTTCACATAAAAAATCTATTTTCTAAATGTATCAATTTTTGGTCTTGATTAATACACAAACGTCATTAAATATGATAGTCCGACGGAGTTGAGTAGTAAAATACGGTAGGCCCCTCGGCATTAGTAGAGGGCATATTTTCCCGTACATTTATATCTTATAAACCTACAGTATATCTTCCCTTTTAATGATATTTCCTCGATCGCGTTTTAAATACTGCGGACCATTATCACCGCTCAGGTGAAAATCATAATATATACAACAGCGTGACGTCAGTGCCGCTCTCCCCCCTCCTTTAAACTATTATTATCCCTACAACAAAGATGTCCGTTTTGCCTGAATAGCCCAATACTTTCTTGTTGCTGTTTACTCTTTTGTTCCCCCATAGCAACCGGTTTGGTTATTCAGTTCGGTCCTCCATTTTATTTCTCGTAATATGAAATAAACGTCGACTTCCAGATATTATAGCAGACTGTTAATGGAGTATATAGGGGATAATTAAAACGCAAAGGTAATGGCTTTTTTATTATAAAATAAATATACTAGTAGGGTAGGTTACAGTTGATGACTTACAGGGATTCTAATCAAAATAACTCATTGCGAATGATTTCACATTTGGAAGTGTTCAGATCGTTGACAATTTATTGATCTAAATGGAGCCAAAAGATTATCTCAGAATATTGTTATTAAATCTCTACACAGGCTTCTATATAAAGTGGTGTTTTAAGTGGATAATAATAGGGGTCGACAAAGGAGTTTGATATTGACTTGATGGGTCCAAGCAAGGAAGTAAATAGGATACTTACCTTACTACTTCCTTGGTCCCAAATGCATTGAGTACAAGTAGCAATAATGTGTAGCACACTGTTTAAAGGTGACACATCAAATCTCATAATAAGCAGAGAAACATTCACATCTTGTAAAAATAACAGTCCAACGTGGTGCACAAGCGAGAATATTAATCTACAAATTCCCATTGTTTCCTCAATTGATTAACATATCTGCCTCAGAGAACTATACGCGTATATAGATAGCATAGACGGCTAAATATTTGTCAAGATTGAATAGTCACATATACTCGTATTTAAATTTGTGAACACCCATGTTAGGAGTTAGTGGCATTTGCACATTGATTTTTCCTACTAGTATGTTCTTTGACTATTTCCAGAATATCAACATCAGCATGGAATGTCTGCTGAGAGTAGGCCTGCTGGCTTTCCTATGCTCTTGTGCCACTGGTGGGTATATATTTACTATATTTACTATACAGCTTAATATTTACTATACACCTATATATACAAAATTTAAATTTTACACCACGCAGTAACTCAAAAGGTCTTAGGCTCTGTTCTCACAACTTTTAGATCGATCTATCACCACGGGGAGTCTCACTAGATTACTGTCAGATAATCCCCCTTAAGTGTCCGTCCCCGCCTACTACAAGCTTTAAGGGGTAATTAACTTTCGTGTCCGCCCGGCTGACAGCTATTTAGCGTGAACCCCCAGGGAGTTAGGTCGATCCAATGTAGGTCGATCTAATCTATGAGAATGGGGTGTTAGGCTACTTCGCAACGCATAGAATATATTTTGTGGGCAGGGAATTGGGGTGGGAGGGGTTGGATGGGCGTGGTCCACCAGTACTCTTGCCTTCGGTTTCAGCGATGGGGATCAACGACTGTCTGTTTAGTGCGTCCTTGGTTGAAACCCGGTCGAAGTGAAAAAAAACTTGTATAACAGTTATTACCTAGACTTTCATGCATATTCTGTGTTATATATGATCGCATTCAGCATCATCACAATTGCAGTGTCGCCCTGACGGATAAGCGGGCTTTTGTATGTGAAGGAGGCGATGCATATGGACTGATCTGCTAGTATTAGCTCATTTTGCTTGGCACAGGGCTCATCAAACAGTTTTAAAGATATTATATTTAATCATGTGGCCGTGTGTTCAGCTTTTTGGAGAAGCAATTTTCGTAATGTGCATATTGGTACTTGCTACAAATGATATGTATTACAAAATGTGTATTTAAGTCTAGTGTGTTAGGTATATGCATATGAACATTTGTGTGCGTAAATGTATCTAGCATGTGAAATATATAACATCAAATTTTATCCCTTCATTTAGGCGTGAGCCAGCCCTCTCTTAGCGGAACCTTCCTACCGGGGACGTCGATTCTTTACCTTGGGTGTAACACGCCCAGTCGCAACAGCAGCGCCCTCTCGTGGTTCAAAGAAGACCCGATTGATTACAGTCTGTCTCTGTTCACGTCAAATCCTGACCTCGAGTTCCAGTCGGTGGCTGCTAGCGACGCTGCCTGTTATTACTGCTACCTTGAAGGAGATGTGGTTGATTTTGTGTGTCTGGACGTTCCGGCCCAACAAAGTAAGAACACTGACGTGGATTCTTGTTTCTGTGTAAAATGAAAATCTTAAGATTGAGAAATATTTTTTATCTTTGAAAAACTCAGTTTTACTTGAGATATTCAGTTACATTCAGCACCAAAATTGAGCGCAATAATTACTCACTACAGAATCTACTTTCGAGACATCACAACGAGGGTGTGAAACCTACTACTTCCACAAGCGCTATAATATGAAAATAGGAGGCTTGTCTTCACATTCATAAAAAGTCTTCAATAAAGCCATTAATCTTCTTTTTATTATTATTATTTTTTTTTTATGATTATAGGTGGGGTGGTGGAATTGTCTTACACCGGAGTCTTCGTGGAAGGAAGCACATTTGAATATTTCGGCTGCAGCAAAGGAGGTAGAGACGCCAGTAACGTCCAGTGGTACGCAGTGAACCCTGGGAGCAACCAGACATTTCACAGCCAGTTCACGCTGGCGTTCACCTCCTTGGCGCCGGGGGACACAGGGTACTATCACTGCATGTATAACGGAGAGTTGGTGGACAAAGTGTTTATTAATGTCACACAGGCAGCTGTACCAGGTGAGTCCAAGGAAATGTTGCCCCCCCCTCCCCATTCAGGGGCGGATCCAGAGCTATTTCCTGACAGTTTTCCAAATAATCTTTGTTATTCCATCCTCCAATTTTGACCGTCTTCCAACAGAAAAAAAATTAGATATCTATCAATGTAAACTTGAAAATCTGACCGTCCATTTTTCAACAATGTCAGTCACATCTTTTTAGTTCAGTTTGCTTTCTAGCCCATATTTGACTAACACTCTTTGATATTCATGTATATGTCAAGCTAATACCAGGCGTACCTGGTAATTTAAAGTCTTCGAATAAGCGAGACCAACCTTAATTGTGAGGAAATAAGATATTTTCGCACTTTTTTTTCAAATTAACAAAATGCACTGGGGATTGGTTTGGTAATTTGAGAAGCTGACAATTGAATCCAGAAAATCTTAAATGCTGTTGTAAAACAAAAAGGAAAAAAAATTAACTACTTCTTATATACATCGCATGTCTAAAACACAGAAATAAAGCAAATTTCGTCTACTGACCCTTTTTACGCCATTAAGGGTCCGTTGCCTAAAATGGTACATAATACGACGAACTTAAGACTGGGTTCCCATACTTAGATCGATCCATCTGGATCGACCTTACTCCCTGGGGGTTCACACTAAATTGGTGTCAGCTCAAGAGGCTTAAATGTCTGTCACGCCTACCGAATCAGCTAGGGGATAAAGATAATTACCCCCTTACAGCTTTACTAGGCGTGACAGACATTTAAGACGGTTAAGTTGGTGGCCATTTGGTGAGACTCCCCAGGGAGATAGATCGAACTAAATATTTGTGGGAATGGTCCATGGTAGCTCGTCTTTTATAAGAAATAACGCTGAGTGTGGTGCGTGTACCAATGTACCATCTTTTTACGGTGACATTGCCTTTCTTTTGCAGAATGCACCGGCGATAACACAGGGCAGGTAGACAAGGTGACAGAAGCGCCACCTAAGGCTCTCACTAGGGATGAGATAATATTCATAGCAATAGGAGCAGTGTTATTCGTTCTCATGCTTCTCCTGTTTATCTGGGCAGTTTGCTGGTGCTGCGCATGCGTGCAAATGAAGCGGGCCACGGGGAAAAGTGAGTAAAATTGCATTACATGTGTGTGTGTGTGTGTGTGCGAGTGCGTTTGCGTTTGGATACGCGCACAGACATATTTCTTTCATAGCTGAAGAACACACTGATAGTAGATCGAAATTAATTAATGCATCTTTTTCACATTATATATAGAAATTTACATTGTTCAATCATTTTGAAAAAGGTCTACTACAACAAAAATGAAAATATATTAAAAGAGACAAAAATTACATGTTATAAATTTAAAATCCCTTTCAATGCATTTTCCTTAGTCTTGCCTAAATGCAGTATTACTATCTGCTCTTTAACTTATTTTCTTACTGTTTTCAATGTATTCAAAATCGCATGCATTGTGTTTGTACATGTAGGCATACCTGGATCTGATGCTTATTTTTATATTAAATTTATTTTCTTTCTAGACATGTGCTGTCCGTGTTGGATGACTTCAGTTATCATACCGGTGGAAGAGAATGCACCGTACGTAATATGCATTATGCGCTTGAGTTTTATGAATATGAATATAGTTTTCCTTGTAATGTTTTTCATATTTCAAAGCATAATGCTCACGACTGAATATTTCTTATCAAACTTTTCCCAGAGCTTTGGACCATTACCTGTTGCCTTGATCACTTTGAAATATAATGTTGATGGCATGATTTTATGGCGGGAACATTGTTATACATAATCTTATATCTGTTTTTAACAACGATCTCGAATTAAATAACTGGTTTATACAAATGCGCGTGTGACTGAATAACTTTTTATTTTATTACTTTTGCTTAATATTTTGCCAACTCAACTGTAGGACCCATCTTAAATCGAGAAAATCCGTAGCTTTAAGTATTCCAATATTTCAAGCGAGAAAAAAATAGAGATTGTTGTTTTAAAGTGTGTATACATACTGTATACATGACTTTAAAGACTTATTTCATTCTCTTTTCATTTCTAGACCTGTGACGCCCGCACCACCAATTCCCACAATCTCCCAAGCTGAAAAAGGGGACGCACCACCGTTACCAAGCAAAGTCAAAAAGCACAAGTGAGTGGTACTTAAATAAGGCCTAGCAGATTTTCTTCTGAATATCTTTGTGAAATATATTTTCTTGATTTATGTTATTTTTTTCGATAATTAAACTACCCAACTGCTAACACTGTAGCCACAAAGAATTCCTGTTAAATTTTTATCAATACATTAATTGTTTAATTAATTTCAAAATAAAAATCTCGTTTGTCGACCCAATATTGACCCATTTGATGCAGAACTCAAGTCGTTATTGTCACCGTAAAATATAACCTCTCTTTTGCAGGAAGAAGCAAAGAGTATCTGACATAACAGCAGCAACGGCGGAGGCCGACAGTCATAAAAAACACCGCCAAAAGAAAAAGTTGAAAAAGCATGGAAAAGACACCACGCATACTGTTGTCATTTCATAACGGCTTTTAACAGCGAAAATGAAGCGAGGCGTCACAATCACGGAAACACCCGATGTTGGTCGAACGGTTTTAATACGTACCGTACGATAGAGAGTGTTATATTCAAAGTTACACGATAACCCTAGACTACCCCCTACAATGTATGTAACGCAGGGCTTGCGGCTGTTGCAAAAGCACATCGATATAATATCAGTATTGTGCTAAGTCTGTTAAAACATTCATGGTACACATTTAGGCTGGGTGTTTTACAGGGTTTTCAAAATAGATTATTTGAAAATATACAGTGGATATAGTATTTTTCCCTCATTTGGGAGACTTATTTTAGACCAGGTGTTGCAAATATCATATCACACAAGTACTGGCAATATTGTAATGCATTTAAACGAGATTTCTCTAGTCTCTTGGCTGTAAATATAAGGTGCCTTGTAGTAACGTAAGATGTTACTCATTGAAACATGTTTAATCATTCTTTTCGATATTTAATGCTGTTTATAACTGTTGTAATTTGTTACTGTAAACAGAAGAAAGCAAGAAATGGTATTAATATGAGTGGGATTTTTTAAATAAACACTGAAAAAGAAGGCAAACACGAAAAATTGTAAAATAGTTAAGGAGTTCCCCGCTAGGGGGACTGTGGCAAAATCTTATTGCTTAGGATGCCTCCATAAATTGGAAACCCAAGAAATGGTCGCGCTCTTATGTTTTGTGCAACAAGAAACCCCTTCAGATTCACTTGTTGGTCTAATTGCATCAAAGTAAAGCCGTTTTATAGGCGACTGAAGCAATGCCATGTATGTAGAATTTGTACATTCTGTAAATAAAGCATTTCATAAACTATAAAAAATATGACTTGTGAAGATTATTTTTCGACAGGCTGTTCTGTATTGATGAGTGATAAACGCTTCTTAATGAATTGGGCCACAAGAACATTTGTAAGCAGAAGCAGAAAGGTTCGTTTTGTGCTGCTTCTTTTTGTTTTGTTTTAAAACCTTACTTAACGTGTATAAAAAATATTCGATGTACTGACAGAAACCTTATGTCTTTTTTAAATGAAGAACTTTCCAACTTCCAAGGGCACAACCAGAAGTCCTAAATCATGCAAAGACGATCATGATAAAATAGGTATCCTAGTGGACCTATTTTTCTTTTTTTCTTTGAATAGGCAATAGAATGTGTGCCGAGCAATATTTTAAAAATACTCTGCATAATGTGTAACCTTCAACCAAAAGGGACTTATAAGTGACGTTTTTTTTAATGGTTTACACAAAGAAATAATAAATGGCAGTATAAATGAAATACCTTGGGAGACTGCAGAATGCCTCCTACGCAATTAATGAAAGTCGGAAGTAGACGTATCCCTGTCAGCCTTCACGTATTTCGAAGATTTAATCAAAGCCGGAGAAAAGAAAACCACGTTTGTATCTTAAACGGTCTATGAAAACACAAGGTGAAAGACGAAATCATTTGCCACTCAACATTCATCTCCGCAATAGGGTAATTGATGAATAAAGGAAATAATACTTCTACTTCAATTTGCTTTCAATTTACCAACAAATGCATATGAAAACCTAAATTAATCGAGTCTTCTGGTCTGATTTTTTTCTTCTGTGGTCGTATTCCTAGCAGATCATCATTATAAGAAAAGAGAGATCATTCAGTGTCCGGATTACAGGGCCCCAAAGATACTTTACAGCCCTAACGCGGTATATATTCTAGGATCGGTGTCGTCAAGGTGCAAATTAAGGACTTAAAGAGAGCAACGTTATTGGCAAACAGCTTTCTCGTGCAAACAATAAGCAGCTGATTGATCAATCCTTTCGAAGTTTATTGGCAATAATCGTCGTCCTTTTTGATTACTAGGAGATTTTCATTCATGGTTTCTATCCTTAGACTAAATGGCTTTCTGAGGTCTTGCTAATAAGTGGAAATATGATTCAGCAAAGAGATAGAACCATTCGATAATGTAGAATGACGTGCCCAACCTTAATCCCACTAAGACGACGTATAAAAGAAAAAATCTGGATTCAGTCAAAGCACAAAAGGACTTACAGGATTTCTTTTATTAAAGCGCCTCTTTTTTGTCAGGGAATGTGATCAAGAAAATCGTACTGTACAACAGATAGGTGGAGATCGTAGAAGAATTGTGTATCTTATGGGTATATAATATCGTATATATACAGCCCTTGATCTAATGCATCTTCTTGCTTGAGATACTTAAGAGGGTTAGAGCACAGTAGGCTGAAATATTTCAAGAAATCGTCTTCCTTGGCTCGTGCATTCCACGACATTACTTGCCTGTGGGTTTGCTTCAGGGGTTAAAATACGTGTGGATAATTTCTCTTTATGGTAAAGCAGAATACGAAAGGGAAAAGATACATAATTACATAACACAGACAGCTACCGATCGATTGGGCATTTGCCACGAGCAGTAGGCGTAAAAGCCCCGGGGTATTTAGATTTCCTCCTTACTTTGTGCCCTTAAAGATAACTCCAGGAGGCTTAAACATCGTATTATCAATTGACTAACTCCTGGATACAAGAACGATGCCTGTGGCCAGCAATAGTGCTATACAGATATATTTTCTACTGACACTAGCGATTCTTCTCACGCTGCCACAGCCTAGGGGTATGGTTTCGGGCGCGAGTGTGAAGTCAATCATAAAGACATTGGCGAGAGCCAAGGAACGTTTAGACGTAATAACAGAAGGACCAAATTACCAGAGCACATACACGGACGATTTGATGGATAAAAAAGAAGAGTTTCCATTCATGGTTAATTTAGATGCTGAATCCGTTTTAAAGTGGGGTATAAACAGTCATGAAAAAACAATACGTTTTCAAGTAACCGTTCCGAAATTGGTATCAGGAATTGGAGTTGGGTTTTCTGACTACGGGGAGACGTCTAATACAGACTGGGCGTTATTGTGGAGCGACCTGAAAGGAAAATCACATTTTCAGGTACGGTATGGTTTGAAACGTATGCATCTAATTCAGAATACAGTATTTCATGCTCATTAAACGATGGTACAAGTTCACTTACCAACTTGAATAATTTCTGGTTTTAAAGACACTCTTAAACCTTTTCAGAGTTTAGTAAAACTACTAGTGTTTAATGATATGAGCACGTGGTAATTATTTTACACTTCTTCCATTGACAAAACGTGGCGTGTCTGTTTCAAGAAAAAAATGTTTAGCCAAATTAAAAAAGACCTTCCATAAAATGCATCAATCGCACCAATAGTACTCACACTGCACAATCAGTTTTATGTGAATTTGTATATTTCACGTTCATTTATTTAGATAAAACTTGAGGCTTTATGTATTTCATTATATTTGTTGTTTGATTAAACAAGAACGTAGTGACATCAGGGCTTAAGAGGAGTAATAATTATCGTAATTTGATTAAACAGTGTTAAGATGCCGTCCACTCAAATCTACTCTTTTCTTAGATTTAAGTACGCGAACAACCATCGAATGAACCTGACTGAGCATTGATCAAGTGTCAGCGGAGCCTCTTTATTATATCTGTTACATTCGTTAAGGCTTTCTTTGTATTACACTTTGGCATAATATTCAG